CCATCAGTATAGCCACCCACAGCAAGCGCCAATCCATGCATTTCGAGAGCGATGCTGGTGCTGAGAGTGATACCAGCATGCGTTCATCAGTGCTTTCTGGCCCTCGCCGAGCTGATTCACCAGCGACATCCGACGTAGGACTGAGCAGGGTAGCCAGTTCACGTGAACGCAAACGCAAGAGTCTGATCTTGCCGAGTGTCATGTCTAGTCGACAACATTCGCCTGCCCGTTCCATGATACCTCCGCCATCTTCACCTCTGCGAACAAACAAGCCGCGCCTGCCTAGTGGCATGGAGGCCTTACAATCACCGATCACGTCGCCAATCTTGCCGACTACCGAATTCTCTTCGCCAGCAATGGTGCATGCTCTAAACCACCACCGGAGACAGTCGTCTACGGCTGGATCAGACGGCCCAAGACCCGTCTCTCCTCGTTTGATTCCCACCACTCAGCCACAGCCACGCGCAGTTCCACCGTCAATAAAGGATTTCGAGATTATCAAACCCATCAGCAAAGGCGCTTTCGGAAGCGTTTACCTCGCCAAGAAAAAGTCCACTGGAGAATACTACGCTATCAAAGTGTTGAAGAAGGCCGACATGGTAGCCAAGAATCAGGTCACCAACGTGAAGGCTGAGCGAGCTATCATGATGTGGCAAGGCGAGAGTGATTTTGTTGCCAAGCTGTATTGGACCTTTTCTAGCAAGGACTATCTCTATCTCGTCATGGAATATTTGAACGGTGGCGATTGTGCCTCGCTCATCAAGGTCCTGGGTGCTTTGCCAGAAGACTGGGCAAAGAAGTATCTCGCTGAGGTGGTACTTGGTGTCGAACACTTGCACAGTCGGAGCATTGTCCACCGCGATCTCAAACCGGACAACCTGCTCATCGATGGAAAAGGTCATCTAAAACTGACTGATTTCGGTCTATCGCGGATGGGTATGATTGGCAGACAGAAACGTGCACTCAAGTCTGTCGAGCCTGCGCCGGACCTGCTCAAAACCGGCCCGTTCCATCGCGCTACGTCTGTAGGCTCTTCACGATCTGCATCCTTTGACTTAAACCACTCGCCTTCACAGACGCCTTCCATGACACCTGCTCTCGCTGGAGACATCGGTCAACCGTCGTACTTTAGCCTCAATCGAGACGGTTCCCAACAAAGTCGTGAGCCTTCAAGGCGGACTTCGGGCACTCGGAGCGACAGCCAAGACAGTGATGCGCTACAAGCCATGTTCCGTCGCTTCAGTATAGCTGACGATTCCTTTGGTCAGCCTCGTGGACGGTCACCGATAGAAGAGGAGGCCTACAGCGACGATGGTTCTCCCGACCTCTACCCTGCTACACATTCTCTGAGTCACTCTGCAGTAGTTCAAAATAGTGCGTTGGCGCCTTCGTCGTCAGCAATGCCACCGCCACCCATGGCTCTGTTCGACCCAGAGGATAGCGACCGCAAATTCGTCGGGACACCGGACTATCTTGCCCCTGAAACTATCGCTGGTAATGGCCAGGATGAAGTCAGTGATTGGTGGTCTTTAGGCTGCATCCTCTTCGAATCTTTGTACGGATATCCTCCATTCCACGCTGATACGCCCGATGAGGTGTTCCAAAACATTCTCGCGCGTAGAATCGACTGGCCAGAAGATGATGATGAGCTATACGATATATCAGACGATGCGAAGGATCTGATGAATCGGTTGATGTGCTCTGATCCTGCACACCGTCTTGGAGCGAACAAGGACGACAAATACGCTAGTGGCGGAGAGGAAATTCGTAGCCATCCGTGGTTTGCGGATGTCAACTGGGAGACCTTGCGGGATGACGAAGCATCCTTCATTCCTGCTCCTGAAAACCCAGAGGACACGGAATATTTCGACACCAGAGGAGCCGCCATGGCAAACTTCAGTCCTGAGTTTGAAGACCAAGCTACTACACCAGCAGGAACGCCAAGTACCGATTATCCTGACCGACCACACGATGCGTTGTCCAGAGTACGCTCTCAGGTGACTGTCTCGACTATGAAGCGAGGACTGATCCCTCTCCATATCCCAGCTCATGTGCGGGAAGGCCGGTCTAGGAGACTCAGTGAACCAATGGCAACTGACGACTTTGGTAATTTCAGTTACAAGAACTTGCCTGTTCTGGAGAAAGCGAACAAGGACGTCATCCAGAAGTTGCGTGCAGAAGCTATGCTTCCACAAAACAAGCCCGCACCGCCTCTGCAGTCGCCCAGTGTCACGTCGCCATCGCCATCGCTGGAGAACAGCCCGATGCTACCCGGCCCGCTCAAACGTACGCTATCCTCCAACAGAGCCACCGGACGGCCCTCTTCCCCCTCGATGAGCGGGCCACATTCTTCGCCAAGTCGTGGTTCACAGCCCTCATCTCCTCTGCTCGTACAGTTTAGCACGGGACAACATGACCGACGCAAGACGTCTAGCAGCTCGTCTACGTTGTCGCATTCGACCAGCAACCCATCCTCGCTACAACCTGGAAGCTTCTTCGATCCTTCCCGTGTGTCAGGCTTGCGACCATCGCCAGAAGCTGTCTCACCAAACAGGCTTTCAAAGACACCGTCGGCACCTCCCGTGGCTTCTCAAGAGAAGCCCGTCACTGGACAACGCCAGTCATCGGCACAAACCAATGCTTCTTCACCACGTGCTCGGTCCCAAACGCTTGGGTCTCAAGAGGACGATGTTGTGCGCGATCTCTTACCTGGGCACTACAAGCGCCGGAGTCAGGTGCTTGATGTATCCCCATCGTCGTCGGACACGGAAGACTCTCGTGCGAAAGCGCTGCTTCGTGTCCAGCGACGACGTCAGAGTTCTCGAAGACTCTCGCAGATCAGCTTTGGCGACGGTCCTTTCTTCCGGCCATTAGACGTATTGATTTGCGAGGACCACCCAGTGTCACGGCTTGTCATGGAGAAGCTGCTCGAGAAGTTGCGCTGCCGCACTTTGACCGTTACCAATGGCTCAGAAGCTATACGATATGCGATGGGCGAGGTCAAATTTGATGTGATCATGATGGAGTTCCGCCTTCCTCAGGTCAATGGTGCAGATGTCGCTCGCATGATCCGAGACACCAAGAACGCCAATACGCATACTCCGATTGTCGCTGTTACTGGATACCTGAAGGAGCTGCAGGCGCCTCACTATTTCGATGCACTTATCGAAAAGCCTCCTACTGTGGCGAAGCTTACGGACACGTTGAGCAGACTGTGCCAATGGAAAGCACCCCCGCCAGGCTGGACGCCGAACCAGTTGTACCCATCGATGATGCCCTCTGGGCTTCGACAAGAGTCTTCGCGCCAGGAGGACAGCCCCACGACCTCGAATTCTTCAGGATACCCACCCGTCCCTTCTGCCAGTTACCGAGGTTCGAGCCGCGAAGACTCTATTAGTTCAAGCTTCTTCGGTGACAACGACAGTCGTGCAGGCGAGGATATGCCAGTAAGAATCCACAACGCCGACGATTGGCGGGAGCGCGACATCGCACGAGCTATGAGTGGCTTAGGGATTTGCGACGATGCAGCTAATGCCGATGCGAAAGCAGCTGTTCCCAATCGTGTTGGTGCACCTGACCTGCCCCACGGGGACTCCGCGCCAGCCGTTCTCGAGGAGGCAACGATCCGCCGCCAGAGATCGACAGAGCAAGTCGGCGCCAAACGTCGCATTCTGGAGACCCGCAAACACGAGTCGGCAGAGTCTGGGGACGATGAAGACGACGAGTTGGGTCATGCTCCAGTGCGCACTCGGAGTCCAAGGTCAAGACCAAAGTCTACGTCAAAACTTGGAATTGAGATGATGCGAACGAACAGTAGAGGCAGTGTCATCTCTGTCGAAGACCCTGGGCAGCCAGATTCAACCCTACCTTCCTCTCCGCCTCCAATGATAACAGAGGAGCGTGCGGCAGAAGAATATGAGGGTAGCCTTGATGTACCTGCAGTCGCGCCTACGTCGCTCACACCGCCAGTCCTCTTTCCCGAAGAACCCGGCGATGATGTGACTGACTTTGTCATCGAAACTCCCAAGGCGCAGAAGGACGTGATTAGTCCGGATCCGGATCCGGATCCCACGCCCAAAGCAAAGCCTGCCACGACACCCGACCCAGACCCAACCCTCCGAGCGAACAGTCCAGTGGACCCCTAGGCAGCATCGTGGCAGTTGTCCCGCACATATTCATTAAATTGCGCACTTGATATTACATTTTAAGCACGTCTTTCGCAGCATGGCGTTGGCGGTGTTCCTACCGGGAGGTGCGCCAATGACAGCGAGTTCAGGAAGCACTCGACATAGTTCCTTTGTCTCTTCGCGCTGTCCAACTTTCGTTGCTTCGCGACTGCGTGTCGTTTTGAGAGCCCTTGTTTTCCAAGCAATGTCCATATAGTCAACATCTTCTTCTCTTTACCACAGCTTGGACGTTTTTTGAGTTCGTATCATGTGCCTTGGGAGTAGGCACTTTTGTCATTCCTTTACTGAAGTTGTTACCCAGTCCACACACGAAGTGCTCGTTGGATTCAGACTGTCGCTCGCTTCTTCTTTGGCTGCTGCCTGTATCAGGTGTACTATTATCGTATTGAAGTTTGCGAAACTTTTGTACTTCCGGGTTTGAGAATCACCGATATAACAGCCGTAAATAGCTGAATGGAGATCACCTTGTCCAAACTGCAGCTTCTGATGTTGTCTCCGTTATTGGAAACATTTTCCCCCCGGAATTGCAGTGAGAGCCAGAACGCAGTAAGCCGGTCTTCTCTCAAAGCCGAAAACACGTTTCACTAAAGAAGGCCTCAGATCTACTACGACCCATGAAGGAAGGGCGGCACATATAATCCTTAGGCAGGCGGTCCATTCGAATTCACGCACGGCCTTAATTTGGCGTTGACTATCGACTACTACATGCTAGAAAGCGAATACAGCACAAGCTAAAGAACTCTTTGAATCCATTACATCTACTGCCACAAGATCGCGAAGTGGTAAACACAGGCAGCGAATAGTGCTTCGCGACTAAAACACAGTCTGCGGATCGATCCTCCACTCATAGCAGTCGTTGTTCAAGAAACCACCCTGCTTACCGTTTGTGCCTCCACATTGACAGCTATTGACGGGAACCTCCAGATATCTGTGGCACAGATCATAGCTATACTTGAACTGGCAGCCTTTCTCCACGCTGAGCGATATGAGGATCTGAACACCGGTTCCTGAACCCTGGGGAAATGGGAAGGTTATTGACTTGAAGTAGTCTTCCTTGAAGACGTCACCGGGGCTCCCTAGTCCACCACAGAAGCTATTGATGGCACTGTCCATGCGCACATGTTCTGTTTTCTGATCCAAACCACCGTAACAATCGACTTTGTTCTGCATTGGATCGCCCTCGCGCGGAGATGCTGTGGGCTCTGGTGGGTCTTCGGTAGTCGTCGTCCTCGTCGAAGACGATGAGCTAGATGAGGAACTGCTCGGTAATGGACATACAACGTCGCTGTCCTCCCAATTCTCATCAAAATCGTCGTCGTCCCCATCTGAGATGGTGTTGTTTTGGCCAAAGATCCATGGTTCGGTCAGGCAACTGAAGTCAATGAAGCTACATTCCTTGACCAAGGGTTCCTCCAGCTGCCCGATGATTGGCTGAATTTGCCGTTTGGGCCAGCTACCTGTCGGTGGTGGCTGCGCATTGGGACCGACAGATGGTGGTGGCGTTGGAAAAGATATCTTAGGCCCTACCGTGGTAGACTCACCATCTGGGCCGGCATAGATCACCGAAGGCCAATGGGGTGTGGTTGCGGGTTTGGGCCAGAAGGCCTCAAAACCCTGGCGCTTCTGGTTGACAGCTTGTCCAGTCAGTGTCACGGGTTCAAATATCCACTCCGATATCGTCATGGGCGGTTTCGTGATGGTGCTTGTCCAATCGCCGTCGCTAACAGTGATCAACGGGTAGTTCAGTGTGCTTGTTGCACGGGTCCATGGAGGAATCTTGACGTTGCAAGGCGGCGAGCAGGTGAACGCTGGCTGATCCATGTCCCAAATTTTGGGATCTACCCAGGTATACTCGTCGTACATGGAGCCATTGCTGCTGACGTCCAACACAGAGATCTGCGACCAGAAAGGGTGGGAGTTGACGTTGAGGTTGTCCTTGGCAAGTATGCCCTTACCATCCATGATTGCCATATATTTGGCGCCGATGGTAACGAGATGCTGAATTCTAACGTTGGAGAAGTTCTTCTCGAGCAAAAGTAAAGCTTTCTGGCACAGCTGCTGGTCGATGCAGGTCTGCGCGTAGGTGGAGAACCAAGAGTATAGGCCCGCGCTTGCAATGAACACATTCTGCGACTCTCGCATTATGATCGCCCATGACTCGTCGCACCCACTGAACTCATCGCCGGCCGCACATTCGTATGTAGGGTCGCCCGGGAAAACACCAAGCGCGGATTTAAATGGAGCGGGTGGAGGTGGCGTGGGTTGGTAGTATGGTGACTCTGTCTGGAGCAAGCCCGCGAAAATGTTTTGGGCTCTGTGGAAGTTGAACTGATAAAACACTGCATGCTCAGATGCAACACCGTAGAGCCTAGTTTGCGTTAGTCGGACTGCGAGGATCACGACAGCGGAGAGAGAGCTGGACCTACCATGTCGGCTCGGTACTTTCAGCCAAGAAGCCACGCGCAACATACACCGAGTTTTGTTCCATGTTGTTGGCACCGCTTTCGAGATCAGGGTCGCTGCAGGTGGGTTAGTCAAAGGCGCAGAGCGAGAAAGAAGAGATGGTACTCACTCAATCATGTGATCTGCAACCCAGAACCAAGCGTTTTCGAGATATGCCGAGCCAGACGATGTAAGATGGAACATCAAGCTTGCGGCGCTGCATCCTTGGTCAACACCACTGGTGACTGGTGGGCATTCCTTCGGCGTCAACTTGGTCCCAGTAGCGCCTCCAACACGGGCGTGGCAATCCCACAACGCAGCCGATCCGGGGCTGGACGCTTTAAGATTCCACTCAACCAGGATAGCTCCCGCCGTCGCCCCAACTGTAGTGAAGAACAGATCCTGCATCTCGACATCTCCTGTTTGGCCTTTGGTACCGACCTTGAGCATCACCTTGGGATGGAGCGCATCTTCGAAGTAAGACCCGGAAGCAACCAACTGCGACCATGTTTCGCCAACCATTTTGGTGCCGCTAGGAACCGTCACCGTCGATGTGAGTATGTATGAGCCGGCGTCAACGAAGAGTATTTTACCCAGCCTTGAATGCAGTGCAGCTTGGAACGCTGCGGTGTCGTCGGTGATTCCGTCACCCTTGGCTCCAAGGTCCTTGATGTGTACGAAGTCGCCAACTGGACGGTCTTCGTACTGGGGTTTGGCACGCTCGAAGTATGCTCCATTTCCATCGACAAGAGTTGAATGGCGGCGGAAACTTCCGACCTTTTCCCCTGTCGTGAATTCGCGGTCTTTCTTATCAGCCGAGCCCTTGTAAACCGGGCCCATCGCCCATTCGTCAATCTTGGATGAGGAGCCGGCCAATATCGTCTTTCCTCCTGTATCAGCGACGGTGGTACCCACGCCTGAAAGCCTGATGTTTTCGAGGATGAGCCCAGTACTGCCTGACCCAACTGTCGAAGTGGAAGGTGAGATCTGAACGACTGTCTTGACATTGTTGAAAGACGAGTCGAGGAAGGACGCTGAGCCTATGTTGCCCGCCGCTGCACCGGAAGTACTGTCGGGTACAAGCTTGAATCCAGTGCCGACGTTGTTCATGGTAATGGACTTCCAGACCCAACCCCAATCCCAAATGAGATGGACGCCGATCGTGCAGTCCTCGAACTTCAAGCGTTGGGCTGTGAATTGCTGACTACCGCCATAGAGGCCGATAGCTCCACCTTGGAATGTTATGTCTGATATCTGCCCACCGCTGCCATTCTCAGCATACATGCCATTCTGTGTCGGACCGGCGATGAGGAGTACATTCTGCGTGCTCGTAGCTTGAGCAACCTGGTAATGCAAACATGAGGCCTTCTGTGAAGCACGGGTCTGTCTAACGTCGATGATCACATTGCGAACTTGCCGGTAGAAGTTTGCCGTGTTGATGTAGTACTCCTCATCTAGACCATCAGCGCCAGTCCCTCCGCCAGTGTACTCGTCTGTCGACAACACCCCCATACCAATAAACGATTTAGATGCCAGAATGGTTGGCCTGTCATTTGCATCTCCAATGACTTGCGTCCCGAATGGCATGGGAATGGTGGTCGAGATCAGGTACGTGCCTGGCGGTATATACACAATGACATTCTTGAGGGTAGAGCCGTTGCAGTCCTTCCCGCAACGTTTGCCGTCTAGCATGGCGGCTTTGAACGCTTTGGTGTCGTCGGTAACACCGTTACCAACTGCACCATAATCGAGCACATTCCGGAAAACTGCGTATGTCGCGTTGTCGCCCCATGGTACCGTACCCTTCCTGTCGATACTGCCCATCCAGTAGGTGCCCTTGGCAGCCACAGCGCGCTTCGTTAAATTTCCGGGTATGCCAGCTGCATCAGCTTCAGCGACTAGAGCTGCAGCATCCGCGATGCTGTCGGTAATGTTTAGGAGGGGTGGCACTGGTGTGCCGTCTTCTCTTGCACGTAGACGACGCTTGACCTTCGATTGCCCGATGAAAGTGCCAGGCTTCAGCCCATAGTTGTTTCGCATAGGGCTCAACAACCGAGCTTGGTTGAGCTTGGAAGACTCCGCGATAGCGTTCTCAACGATGATTCGCGCTTTTGCCAGGTCGGACAGTGAGGCGTTGGTCAAGAGAGGAGTGACATCAGATCCGGACATGGTTCTAGTGTCAGATTCTCGTGCGATTATGGGGTACGATGGAGACACCTGTTCGTTGCGGGGCTCAGTTTGAACATTTGTAGACTCTTCACGAGATTCAAGACGTTCCATCGCACTCTCTTCATCGATATCGTAATGCTCGTCGAAGATGTCGTCATCGTTATCGTCCTCCTCATCCATCCAGCGAGTGGGGTTCATGTGAGACATTGGGATCGTCGTGCCGGTCAGATCAGCATCTGACCATGAGTCGTAACCGTCGGAGTCATTTGCTGGGACAATGTACTGGCTACCAAGACCGGCGTCAATCAGCTCTTGGATACGATCCATGTCCAGTACCTGTCTCGAGCCAAAAAAATTGCTTGAACTGTTTGCATAGTGTGTCTCGGGTGCATCTCGTCTTTGCTGGTTGACGACCCTCTCGTCAGAACGCACATTACCGGCTGGGTCGTCAAACGTCCAGACCCTTGCTGCGACGCCGTCCGCCGAATTGATGGCTCTGAAGTGGAAGAATGCTACGCTATCCTTGCTCTGATATGTGGGATGTAGACGGAAACCAGAATCCCGTCTCTGCTTTTCGATGATAGATTTGAGCTGACGCTGTAGCTTACCATGCGCATCGGCCTGCCAGTTCTGTTCGGCTTTACATCCTCGTGCACAACTCATGGCAGCACAGCGTGTCTGTGATGCTACGTTAGGATCGCTGCGATCCCCTCCGCCCTCTACCCATGTAGCTGGTGGAAATTCGTCGCACGTATACCGCATTTTGGAAAGTGTTGTGATCGCGCCCACGCGATGGTTCCTGATCTGATTGATAGAAGTGCCAGGCTCCAAATCTTTGTGCCACCACACACCGTCGTTTCGCATTACGTCTCGCTGGCTCGTCTCGGGGCAAGGATGAATGTTTTTCCAAGATCCAGGGCAGGATTGTGATCGACGCTGGTATGACCGGAATCTGGCTCTCTTGCCAGTGTTGAAGTCATAGCCGAAAATGCTGTTTGGCAAACGAGTTCGACGTGTACTAGAACTACCAGTTTGTGCTCGTGGTGAAATGCTGTACCAGTTCATGGCATTCTCGCAGATGTCCCTCAAATAGTTGCAGTTATATACTAGCACCACTTGTTTTGGCGAGACATCGATGACGCGCTGCTCGGCCGCATTCGGATTGGGACGGCTGCATAGTCTCTCGTTAGTCGCCGAGTTTCAAGCTCTCTAATGTCATCCCAAACTCACTAGAAGTATCCATCCACAAAGTTGTTGGTAATCGGATCGATCACCCGTCTGACATTGTAATCCTGGTCGAGCTGAGCGAGGGCCAGACGTTCCAGTAGCACACCTTGAAAGGCCAGAAGACACGTCAAGAAATACAATGAAGCCATTCTTGGGATGACAATGAGGAGCAGAGAGGTCTGTTCTCAGGGTGCAATGTCGTTTCCTGAGCGGTATATCCACCTTAGGTAATAAGGACAATACCGTGTAGCAACCAGAGAAGCTATCACGCAGGAGACTATACTGGGAGCGAATGAAATACATTTGACCCGTGGAAGCCGTCGTATGGCCCTACACCACCTTGACTTTCGACTTTGTGAGACTAGAGTTTAGCCAAAGTCCTTGCTCAACAGTGTACCAGACTCATAGACATCTGCCAGGTAGATTGGCAATATACCTTTCAATCGAAACCCAAGGTATCCCTACTCATTGCTTATGAGAATACTGTAAGTAGAGTGTCCGAAGCCCAAGCATTGATAGTTACTTGTACATCCAGACGAGCACACGCAGCCACCAAATTGTTGCGCGAATGAACTATATGTTACACGTCATTTGGATCAAAGCTTGTACCCCCATGTTTCTTAGACAGATGCAGCAAAGATTTGAATGCCAATAGACAAGGGCGAATGCATATTGCGCGTGCAAGAGTCAGGATAGAGCCATGCGTAGGACGTGGCTACGCGGCTTCACCACGTTACTGTGGGACCAAAACGTTCTAAAGCAAGCAGAGCGCCAAATGTTGCAGAATACGATGAAGACATAATTCATGCTGTTTGGTCCACCTTGAAGCGGACACAACGGTTAATGAAATTCTTCATGCTAACCCAAGTAGATCAAAGCTCTCCAGTGACAAGTCGAAGTAGAAGATGCTCTGCCTCAGGACGAAGATGAACGCAAGTTGACTACACTCGTTGACGGTGCAGAGCCGCATTGCCCAAATTGAGGTTGACTACGTGTTTATTGATGTCAGTTTCAGCTAACACGAATTTTGGGCAGGTCTTATGGAGTTCGGAAGGGAGACTCACCAGCCGGCACCGCAGTCAACCGGAAGTATCCCACATTGACCATTCTTATTGCAACAGCCCCCATAAACCACGTTGCAAGTGTATTTGTTTGGGCCTCCACAGCTACCATCCGGTGTAGTTCCAGTCTGCCATGGTAACGGAATAGTCGCAGTAGGGGATGCACGCGTACAGTTCCCCGACTGACAAGAATCAAAATCGCAAAAAGATGCGCCATCGCCGCACTTGCCGTCAAGGTTGCAACAATGTCCCCATTTTCCTGCGCAAAGCCGATCCCTGTGTGCAAAACCGCAGGTACCGTCGGTGCTGTATGTTTTGTCCCCCAAGCAGCCGCCCTCGTAACACGTGCCATCAGCGCAATCTTCCCTAGATGATTGTCAGGCTGAATTCGATTTTCCTACTTCTGTTTCTGCTAAGATTCTTACTCAGATGCGCCGCAAGTAAATGTATTGGCATTGCAGCACGGAAACTCGGTCCCAAGACAGGTTGCATTGTTGTGCTTTGGGCCGCAAAGACCATCCAAGGCCCTCACAGGCTCGATATCTAGCATCTTTCGTGTCAATTCTTGGCACCTTGATCTTGCTCGAAAGAGTATGTAATTGAAGACTTACAGCCATCGTAACAGTACCTCGATCTTGGCTGGATATCCGAGCAATCCGTCTTCAGCGTTGGGTTCAACCAGAAGAAATAGTCGGTCGTGATTTGATACTTGTCGCAGATTTCTGTGCAAGTATAATAGTTGACATGCTCGTGGGTTCTGGCCCAAGCTCGACAATTGAGTTCGCCAGGCTTCACTTCCAGAATCCTGATTCTGCCACCAGTGTTCCTCACAGGACTCGCGATTGGCGTCGACAGCGTAGCAGTCCCTGTCATCTCTGCAAAACGAGCAATCTTTGCATCGTTGGACCACGTAACGGGTCGGCAATCATCAGCGATCGAATCGGTTGGGAAGAATGCCAACGTGAAAAGAATGGTGAACACTGTATGCCTTCTGAAAGAAGACATTTCTGAGGACAGAAGGACGTGACTCTTTGGACTGAATGAGGTGGGAAGTTAGTGCTTGTTGAACGATGCGCTGAGCTACATGGACTGGTAGAAACATACTAGTAGGTGCACGCCCCTACAAACTCGTCTGCCTCAATATCGGGCAGTCGTCGGGACACTAGTGGCATGCGCACTGTGGATTCGGGTAAGCCTCTGTGGAGCTCGGTACTAAAACCGTTGAGCGATCGACAGACTGCTGCATTCAACATAGCCTGAAGTCTACCTCGTGTAACGCACGGCAGTGTTGCCTCTGCGTATCGCAATATAATCATGTTGTCGTGGGATTGTCTCCCACTGCCACCGAGCCACGATGCATTGCTATTAATTGTACTTATCAAATGATTATGGATAAAAAATGAAGAGTTTAACCTCAGGGAGGTCTCTGTGCTGCTGAATGGTTGTGGTAGCGGTTGGTGGCACAGTTAGGGTTGCATTCGGCAAGCGACGTGGTACCTAGGTAATTGACCGTGATTACGATCATGCTTGTTATCGACGTGCAGACACGAAATCACTAATATGGAGGCTATTTGCGTACATTAAGGCTATGTGCATGTATTTGAGGCTAATGTCATTTTTGCACTCATCTCGTGGGCTGAAACATCCGCTGCGAGGAACTTGTTTCTGTCCAAGCCAGTTCAGGAATTCCTCGAATATCGTGACATTCATAACATCACTGCAAACTCACTCTGCTGAACCGCCAGCGCAGTCATGCAGATACTCGGACTCCTCCTTATTTCTGTCTTTCCCGCTCTAGGGTCCAGCCTCAAATCTAGAAGCTCTCGAGATACCGTACCGAACTTGAGAGGGGGAACAAAAGCCACAATTCAAAAGAGAACTTGCGGCGAAACCAACGGCCGTGTCTGCTACGGGATTGGCGGTGGTGAGGCGCAAAACATCGACGAGGCCGACATCGCATACGCCGCGTCGTACTTGCGATTTCTGGCCGAAAACAGCAACAACCCACTATGGACAATGCCGCCCGAGTTTGACTGCTCGGAGTGGGGATTACCAATAGCCGACGCCGGGACTGTGCTTGTGCTCGCCAAACACACTAAACCACGCACCAACTCCTCGGTCACCTATTATGACCTTGCTCGCACTATCGACGGTGGTGCACAGGCGACATCCGCTCAAATGGCAGAGTCTTTGCTGGGAGCGTGCGGGTCTGGAGGCGGTATGATGGGAGTCACAGTTGATGACAAGGACCCGGCATACAGCACTTCTGCTTACAAGGCCTCAGGCGCAAAACATCAAGATATCATCGTCAAGATTGTGAGGGCTCCGGTAGCTTGATGTTAGACGATTGCAAGAATGGATTAGGTAGCAAGATGCAGACTGTAGCTACGCCAGCCTAGCACTTCAAAACACTGTCTCAACGGAAGCGTGTTGATTGCAGCTCTTACGTGATTCACCACACACTTGATCCTATCTTTTTCATTAAGCAAATCAAACGTACCTCGCTGGACACAATATTTTCCACTGCGCTCTCCATGTTCACCCGTATCAATGGGAAATTTTACGACGGGGTCGGTCCGTTGAATCCGTCCATAAACGACCAATCGAGAGGCCGCTGAAAGACGGAGGAGCGCCAGTCCGCGGAGTCAATCTTCACAGTATCTACTGACATGCTCTTTCGCCAATCCTCCACTGTCTCGAAGTTCACTTGGTCCGGCAAACCATAGCTAATCATCAACTTGGTGTCTGCCGCCAGAGGCTCATTCTTCTTCAAGTCCCCCTCTGCCCCAAAGATGTCTTCACGTCGGCCTAGCAACCAGGGGTGCACCGCTGAGACGTAGTCGTGAATGGTAAGGAACGCGCCACTGGCCTTGACGAGGAGCGTCTCACCCTTCTTCCGTGGCCGATTAGCGCGACAACACCTTAATAGATGCGGTTCCTCCACCTCGTCTGAGTCCGAATCGTAATCTTGAAGCTCTCCAAAGAGAAACTCATCGGGGTCCTCTCCATTCTCCTCAGGATCATGACAAAAGCGGTGCATTTCGAGCCACTGGAACTCCCAGTCTTCGAGAACGTCAATATGAACGATGACGGAGGAAGTTTTGGGTTCGGTGAGGGGCGATTGAGATACCGGATGCCAGGTGGTATTCGAGGCCGTCTGGTCACAATATGGCTCTGTCGCGATGTTGGGATCGTAATTGATGGCCTGCATGACCTCGATCGCGCGGTTCAATGGGCCGTCGAGCGCCCACTTTAGACGCTGGGCATCGAAACTGAGACCGATGGGCTGCTGCGCTTCGCGATAGACTTCGTAGGCCGGTGGTTTTGCGCTGTCCGTTGGTTCAGAGATATCTCTGGACATGTCGGAATGTTTAG